GGCCCCCCGAGCCCCTACAGGGCCCCCCGAGCCCTCCAGAGCCCCTTGCTGGGTCCCAGCAGCTCTTCTCCCCCCCAAACCCCCCTTTCTGGCTGCAGCTGCTTCTCTTCTCTGGCTGCCCCTTCCTTCCCCAGGGAGGTTTGCCCTGTTCTTTGGCCAGGCTCCAGCTGCAGCTCAAGGGCAAAGCTGCGACTGCAATTCCCCCTTTGGGTTTTCACTGGAAAACAAAGGCTTGGCACAAACTCTGCCCAGGCCCTCGCTGAACACGAGACATCAAACAGGGCACACAGAATAAAGTGCACCAAACTCTAAATCCTGTTACAGTGACTGTCCACCCCAACCTAGCACTGACATTAAAAACATCCAACCAATCACAAAGACCTCCAACCATCCCTTAGATAGAGAAAAGCACACAGGAACGAATGCAAAAAGAAAAATTCCAAACAATGCTCAATTAAATAACCATGGACTGATAGAAAACATGGTTAGTGAACTTAAACCACTCCACTTCTTCCCATTATTCTCCATCAGCAATTAACCTTATTTATGTTCTCCTTTTAACACTTCATTAAAACTGACTGAGAAGCAAAAGGTTTGAACCAAACTTCATAACGTGATGACTTCAGGGTTTGTGCTCCTTGACTTTTGCTGAAGGTGTTTGGAAGCCAGGCTTTGTTCTGGAGAGCTTTTCCCCACCCTAAAACCCTTCTGCAGACGGGACTCCCTTCCCTCAGGGGTCGGGGGCCTCTGGTTTCCCTGAAGGCTGGGGGGGATCTGGGAGCCAAATCCCAAGGGATCCAGCCCAGCTCTGCACACACCCCCCCATTTCCAGCTGGTCACAGCTCCCGGGGGCCACCACCACTCACCACATTTGCACCCAAACACCCCTCTGAGCTCGTGGCACTGGGTTTGAGGGACTGAGAAATGATCAGGCTGGTGCTTTGCCCTCAGAGGAGTAAGATCCAATGCTGCATTTCTGTTGAGAAACTCTTCGAGGCTGCAGGACATACACTGCATCAGGCCTGCTGGCACAATGCAGCCTGCGTGCTGGACGGCAGGGACCCGTGTGCTCCAGCAGCACATGGGGGGCCTGGAGCAGCAGAGAGCAGAAAGCTGCAGAGAGGAAAACCAGGAAGGAGGTTGTTAGCCAGGGTGTGAGAAACCAGAAGATGGGGGGCCTGGAAATGTGCCTTGGCTAGTAGAGCCAATGAAGTTATAGATATAGTGTGTGAAAGTAAATGTAACCAATAGAGAGTTAGAACAGAGCGTGTGAACCCTGTAGGACCCTTGATAACGGGTGTATTTTTGGAATAAAGTGAGAGCATTGCCTGTACCTCTAGGAGGATGTGTCTCTGACTCTCGAGCTCGTTTTTTGCATCTTCTCCTTTTATCTGGCGCCCGAAAAGGTGATCAAAAGCGCGGAAGGGCAGAAGAATGCGGATAGCCCATTGATGTCCGTGCGGTGGGACGCGGTGGGAGACGTGAGAGGCTGAGAGAAGCTGGACAGAGGCGTTTCGGTCGTGGGCCAGTCGGCGCGAACCGAGGGAGAAGGGTCGCTACCTTCCCCCTGGCATTTGCTGCAAGCACGGAATCGGAGTTTGCTGCAGCTAAAAAGCTGCTGTTGGCTATCCTTGCTAAGCGAGGGGAAACAGTAGCTGAGGTGTTTGACGAGCTTATTGCTCGGGCCTGTGGAAACGGTTTCTTTAAAGTGCCCCCTCTCCTTTTCGCCTTTGAGGAACGGCGGGCTTTGGGAGACAGACTCTGGGACTTGAAAACCCTCGCTGCTACTCCGAACCTTCTCGGCCGTGCAGTCATCCTGCTGAAGGGGGAGCGCGGCGCGGCCCGGCACACACTGCCCCAACCGAACCGGGTGCATTCGAGCCGTGGCCGCCGCCCCCCCGGGCACGATCGCGGTGCAGACGAAGCCCAGGGAGCCGCTCTGGCCGGAGAAGCCTCAGGCGCAGCAGAGCAGGGCGAGGCAGCGCCGCGGGGGGAAAGCAGGAGCACCCGAGAGCCGGCGGGAGAGCAGCCCGGCCGAGCGGGGCAAGGAAAACCGGGAGCGGCCCCAGAGGGAAACGGGGATGGAGCAACCCGGGCAAAGCATCGCTTCTTGGGGAGAAGGGGAGCGGGCGGGAAGGCTGCTTTCCGGGGGTCTGTTCACTCTCCTGCTGACTCTGGTGGCTGGCCGGTGGGGCGCTGCGGGCTCACGGGGTTGTTAAAAGCAAAATCTCTCTTTTTAGTCCTTCTACTCACTTGTAGAGAACTTAAACCCAAAGACTTGCGTTTACCTGCAAGCTCGTATGCAGACAGTTTTAGGGAGTTTTTCCGGGAAATGAGTATTTGTACGAAAATCTTAGTGAAATGCCTTATTCTTAGCTGTATTTTACCCCTATAAAACCCTTCTGAAAAAACATCGTATTCAAAAAACAAACAAACAGAAAACAAACAAAAAAAAGCAAGCAAGGTTTTGACAAAAAGGATAAAAAGCCCTCTTGCAAAGCTTTGCCTTAGCAGAGAAAGAGATAAGGTGTTACTGGCTCACACAATAGAGATCGTTTGTTGCCGAGCAACTGAGTATTACACCTCCTCTGGCCAAACTCGGGGAAAAAAAAAAAAAAGGGGGGGTGTAGAACCCTCCTGCTTTATAGAGGCTGCAACTTTGCAATCTTCTGATTGGGGAAAGAAATATTTTTGCCTTACAGTTTGTGGGAGGGAGGGCAAAAAATCTAAAAACCCTCTCCCGTCTCGCTTTGAATCTCCCTGCCTACAGGATAGGGGGAGGAGAAGAGAAACACTGCAAACTGAAACCTGAGTCACATACCACAGTAGAGATTTAAAGGAAAAACAAACAAACAAAAAGTTAGAGATAATATTAAAATTAATGAAAAGAGTCACAAATAAAAATGTATTCATTCTCAATCTGTCATTAGTAATTCTCATGAATAGAGGAGCCAGTCTGTGGCTCCAGCGAGCTTGACCAGAAGCTGGGAAGATGATGCAGAATACAGTAAATTAAGGAAACTATTCTAGTTGCTTTTTCATTTTTTCTATTAATCGGGACAACAACCACAGCCTTTTATTAGTAACTGACAGCCAGCCACTTCGTACTATAAAACCTATATTCCTCTCGTACAGTCAAGTTACAAAAATTCTGAAATTTGAAATTCTTTTGTGACAATTGTTTAATAGTCTAGGCTCTATTTTGCAGAAATTCCACAGATTCATTCTGCAATCTGACCCCGTGAGATTAAACACTCCTGTTCATCTATTCCAACGTGGAGATCACATCTCCATTCAGCAGTAGGATGCTGCCCCCCTGTATGCTGACTGCAGAGAGATGGGGATTACCTGCAACCACGGCATAGCTGCAAGTGCCCCTGGCTGACCCAATGAAGCAGGAGCAGCTGGAGCCTATTCTGAGCTCTTCACTAAACATGGATATGGTTACAAAGAGATTATTGCCTACCCTTTTACTATTAGTCCTTTGTTGTAGATATTCTCTGTTGTTTTCCTTGGTTTTCACCAATCTGCTGCTTCACTTGCTCCACAATGGCCTGGTCCAACCACAGCCCATGGGGGGGAATGTATTTGTGCTTAACTGGATGATGCAAGAGCTGAGAGAGGGGAACTTCGGCCCTGAAACAACCATCTGGTATAACTGGAGATTAACTGGCATTTTGCTATTAGTTGACAACTCTCCAAAAACATTTGACAGAAACAGTGAAAAAGAAGATGATGTTAAGACAGACCCCTGAGATACAGCATGCCACAGGCAAATCATATAAAGACCTGTCCTTGCACGGGACACTTAGCTCAAAGTCAACAAAGCTAAGCTTTTTATTTATGCAACAACTAACCTAACAGTTTAATTTCAGTACAAAAAAAAAAAAGGGGGGGGAGTGAGGAAAGATAAGTTCATGAAATGGTCTTGCTGACTGTTACTTGAGGTTGCTTGCCTAAATAGCCAGAATTGTTTTAAACATGGTGAAGAGGAGCTTTTGAAGTTTTTGTAGTGACTATTGACAAGTTCTCTTTGAAGTCCAAAAGCCCATTTGCATAGAGAAGTGCGTGTTTTGCTTTAAAAATATGAGTATATATTTATCTTTAAACTATAAGAATGTTTGTACGTATTTGGGTTTTGAATTGAACGTGAAGCAGAAATATGTTTATGTTTTCCAAGCTATACTTTCATAAAAACAAGAAATGCATAATTAGATCTTACTCAGATGAGGGCAAAACACAAGAATGATAATTTCTCAGTTCACAACCAGAAAACACAGTAAAATACAGCTCAAAAGTATGTTTGTGTGAGAGCATGAAGTGATGGCCATCACGCATGAAAGTTGTGTGAATGTATGCATGTGAGTGTATGAATATATGATTATTAATATATTCTGGTTTTGCTCACAAATGCCTAAACCATATTACCTTACAGATGCATAAGCACCTTTGGATAAAGAGTGGGAGGCACATAACCCTGAGTTAAATGAAGTTTCATTGGCAAAATAAAAGTTCTCAAGAACCACATAGAACAAAGAGATGAACCAAGCAAAAGACCATCAGTCAGGCCTGGATTGTGCAAAAGAAAAAGGGGGAATAGTTGAGAAACTCTTCGAGGCTGCAGGACATACACTGCATCAGGCCTGCTGGCACAATGCAGCCTGCGTGCTGGACGGCAGGGACCCGTGTGCTCCAGCAGCACAGGGGGGGCCTGGAGCAGCAGAGAGCAGAAAGCTGCAGAGAGGAAAACCAGGAAGGAGGTTGTTAGCCAGGGTGTGAGAAACCAGAAGATGGGGGGCCTGGAAATGTGCCTTGGCTAGTAGAGCCAATGAAGTTATAGATATAGTGTGTGAAAGTAAATGTAACCAATAGAGAGTTAGAACAGAGCGTGTGAACCCTGTAGGACCCTTGATAACGGGTGTATTTCTGGAATAAAGTGAGAGCATTGCCTGTACCTCTAGGAGGATGTGTCTCTGACTCTCGAGCTCGTTTTTTGCATCTTCTCCTTTTACATTTCTATTTTCATGGAAATATCACCTGTAAAACACAAACATATTTCTGCTTCATGTGCAATTTAAAATTCAAAGACACAGAAACATTCCTCTAGTTCCAAGGGAAATACACACTCCTCCTATCTCTGAAGCCAAACACACATTTCCCCATGCTAATGGGCTTTGGACTTCAAAGAGAACCTGGCAGTAGTCCCTGCAAAAAACTTCAAGAACTGTCAAAATACAAAACCTCTCCTTCTCCCCCCCGTTTGTGCTGCAGCTCCAACCACTTTGGGCCATTTAGGTAAACAACTTCCAAAACCAGTTGGTAAGGTTATCTCCTGAACTTGGCTTTCCTCACTCCCCCCCTTTGTTTTAGTAGTTTATTCACAGGAAAATCATCTCTTTCTAAATGTGTAGCATTCCAAGTTTCACTTGAAACAACTGTAAGAATGTCTTCAAAACACAGCTGGCACTTCAAAGGTGTATACAATTTAAGGCAAATGGCAAATAAAATAAGTACTGAGTGATACCAAAACCACACTGAGCTTAGGATGTTCTCAAAAACCAGAGTCCACTTCCAAGTGAAGCTGTTGCTGCTCCCCTCCCTGGGCACTGTTCAAGGAAAGCCCAGCACAGGAAACAAGAAGTACCACAGGCTCCTTTGGAAACATCAAAGCTGCAATTCTGGAGTATCCCCACCAGGACAGTCCCTGGAAATGGAATTCAGCAACAGCTTTTAGGCACTCTCAGATTCACATTTATTGCAATAGCTCATGACTTTCTTTCTTAAATCATATCTCAGGATTTCCCTGAATTATCACAGTGGAGGAAACAAACCTTCTCCTAACGGGAACCAGCCAAGCCAATGGAGAAGCAAAGCTGACAGTGTGAGCCCACCAGAGCTCTCAGCTGCTCCGGGTCACCTGCCTGGGCACTGCAGATTTGGGAGCTCAGAGCTGGCTCTCCCTGCCAGGGCCGTGGCTGGAGGGGGAGCAGATAAAGGGCAGGAACACCTTTGGCCTAAGCTGCTGCTCTCTTGAACTTCAGCAGGTGCTGGGGACCAGGGCAGAGTCAGAGGGGAGGAGAGCAGCTCACTTCCCAACTGAGAAAGGACAAGGACAGGAGACACTGGGGACCTGTACAGACACTGCTCCCAGCTGGGCAAATAAAGCTGGCAGCACCCTGGCATCCAAAATTGGGAGCTTCACTCCAGGGGAATAAAAAAATGGACAGTTTATTTAGAGAAGTTTCAGTGCAGAGATTTCACTTTCAGGAATGGTAAAAGTGGCCAAAGAAAGTCTTTCTGGCCCTTCCTGAAAAGCCCCAAGCCAAGTCCTTGGGACTGCAGTACCCCTGTGCCAACGTGTGCCCAGCCAGAACAGCCCCTGGGAGCTGTGCCCACTGCTGACAAACCACTGCCCACGGGCACTCCTGCCTGGACAAGGGCAGGGCCAAAGCCAGAACAGCCCCTGGGAGCTGTGCCCACTGCTGACAAACCACTGCCCACGGGCACTCCTGCCTGGACAAGGGCAGGGCCAAAGCCAGAACAGCCCCTGGGAGCTGTGCCCACTGCTGACAAACCCACTGCCCACGGGCACTCCTGCCTGGACAAGGGCAGGGCCAAAGCCAGAACAGCCCCTGGGAGCTGTGCCCACTGCTGACAAACCCACTGCCCACGGGCACTCCTGCCTGGACAAGGGCAGGGCCAAAGCCAGCCCTGGCCTTGAGGCAGAGGAGCACAAAGGAGGGCACACTGGGGAGGAAGCAGGGCTGGCACACACAGAACCTTCCCAGAACATTTCGGGGGAATGAATTCCTGTGCTCACTGCTGATTATTGCAAAGCTCCTGCTCTGCAAACTGGGCTTGCAGAACAGTTTCATCCCTTGTGGGTCATGAACAGGATCAGTTCTGGGCTCGGTCCCAAGGACCCAGGTTTGGTTCCAAATGTCACTCGGTCCCCCTGGGACAAGAACAGTGGCACACACGGACTCAACAGCCCTGCACAAGGCCAGGAGTGGGGGGGAAATATCCTTGAGAGCACTGCTGGATTTCAAAAAGAAGTCAGTCACATCAACTCTGTAACAAATAAAAAAGAGAAGCCAAAATAAATAACTGTAGACAGGGTACTAAGCACCTTGAGAATACCAATAAGAAAAAATAAGAATAAAGGCATCTGTTTGAAGTACAAAGAGTTTGGGAGACACCATTTGTTTGCCATGAAGCCTTTTTGTCAATTATTTTGTTGGCCCTTCTATAGTTAGAATCCAAACCTTACCCTGCCACAAAAAGCAGAAAACCTCTTTAGAGAGTTAGGAGACAGAGTCAGTTTGGATTAATGGGAAGAATATCTCTGGAGACAAAATAAGGCAGAGAAAATAACCCCCATCCTCAGCAGCAGAGCTGCCTCCCCCCTGCCTGCCCCTGGAGCCAGGGGAAGCAGCAGAGGGAAGCAGCTTCCTCCAGCCCAGGAACTCTCCTGCCAGTGGCTGCAGCAAATCCCCAGCTCTCGAGGCAAACCAAATCCTTCCAGCCAGCAGCCTAAGAGACAGGGCAGGGATGGAGCTGGCTCAGGGCAGCAGCCCTGGCAGAGCTGGGCTCCAGAATGGAACAGGAGAAGACCCAGCAAATCTCACAGTAGTTTGCCTTTTCAAAGGCACACCCAATTCCAGAGACAGAGTTCCAAAATTGGGATTCTACAGAAGAGACAAAGTTACCTTGACTTGATGACTTGTTCATTGATGGAGAGGCGTGACCAGATTGCTCACAGACCCTTAGGATGGGCAATATGTCCATTTATTATCTCAATCAGTGAACTTTGACACAGTTTAGTTTGTTTGGGGCACATGCTCCCAACAAGGTGATGGGATAGCTCAGTCTGTGCACACGTCTCATGGCCCCAGTTCATTGGACCTGATGTTCTGTCCACGCCCTCTGAAATCATCCTTGGCATAGAAACCTCTTTAACTAATCTGCTTTTAGAGTTTTACTAAATTTGCAGGTGTTTCATTATCTTCAGTTTCTCAAGGTTTTCTTACTATAAACATCTTACGTTCTCAAACCTTATCATTAGACACCCAGCTAACAAGTACCAACATCCCAGATTTTCACACAGTCTCTGAGTATAAACAACACACACCTGTCACTCCCATGGCAAGCAAGGCCTAGAGAGGGCAGGAAAAACTGTTCAGAGAAATCTCTCTGTTCCGGCCACAGTTCCCCAGTTCTGCTTTGAACAATTCTTACTGCACTCCTGCAACATTCCTCCTCATCCCTACAACATATTACCAAACACAATTACATACAATAATACCACTGCCACTAACAAACTTAACAACCTTTGATCCCAGAGTTTGTGCTCTTAACTCTGTGCTTACAGATGTTCCTAAATATAGGGCTTATCCTTGAAAGCTTTTATTCAATCTAAAAACACTTCTGCAAATGGAGCTTCATTCAACTTGGGGTTGTGTGTGGTCTGTTTTTCTTTAGGGTGTTTGTGTCCAAGCTGTTTGTGTAGCTGTTCATACATTCCCACACACACATTGCTTTCATTCCTTCACTTGCACACGGTGGCCACCATCAAACAAACTTTCACTCAGACACACTTTTCAATTCCATTGCACTGGGTTTTATCAACTAAGAAACCATAATTATTCTCTAGTACCTTATAATGTCAAAGTTTCCCAACCAAACAGATAAAATTAACCAGATAGATTAACTTTCCCTTACTAATACTTAGTGAGTAATCCAAAGGTCATTCAATACATTATACTGAAATTCTTACCCTCTATAACTTATATACCTCTTAACTTCTAAAACTATGTGCCTTAAAAGTACTAAGAAATTGTACTTTAATAATATTGAAGAGACAGCTACAACAACTTCTGGTGTTGTCACAGTCACCTGCAGGAACCTCATCCAGCTTGTTCTGAAGAACCAGCTTCTTCCCAAGGCCTCCTCCATCGTGCAGATACCCAGAGAGCACCTGTGTGCAAAAGACTCCAACCCATGAAACACTTCTGCAGGGCAATAGAAGAGGGCTGTCCCCCTTCTCGCTTTGCAAAGTGTGCTAAGAACTCTGGAATCATCAATCTCTATAACCTTTATGCCAATAACAACAAATCTGTAACAGTTCTATTTCAGAACAGAGTATGCTACATCCTACCCATATACTACTAACACTTCTGCTCAAATGATAGGTTAACCTGTGCCAACATTCTGCTGGCATGTTCTCATCTGGGTCAGGGGGGCACTGATGACCTGGGGCACCCGATCCATTCCCCCTGGTTCTGGGAGCTCCTGCCGGGCTGGAGGAAAGGCTGCAGCTGTCTCCTCAGCACGTGCTGCTTGTGCTGCTCTGCTGATGACACCTGCAGCTGGAAAGGACAGAAGGGAAGAAGTACAACAGAAGGTCCATGGGTAAAAAGAAAAGAATTCCTAGAGATCATTTAGGCCCACAGTGAAATGCCATTTGCAAAAGCAAAGTCATGTATCAATATTTGCTTTGGGATGTACAGTAAAACTCCAGAATTTCCTAACAATAAAACAATAGGTTTTGTTAAAGCTGAGGAACTGTTCATTGAAAGAATGAAACTAGAGGATTGAAGAACTGATAAAAATCATATCTGATTGCACTGTAAAAAAGAAAGTCTTTTCTGCAGACTTAATTACTCTCAGCAACTCTAAAATTTCAATAAGTCTCATTGGAAAATGGGATACAACCTAAGCAGCTCTTCTGGCTTCATCTTCTAGAACTAGTAAGATTTTGGATTTTGTCTCACATAAACAAACATCACAAATGTTTGCTCTACCATTTTACTTCAATTATCTGTTTTAAATTACCATAACAAATATTCTACTGTTGCCTATTTGACACAATTCATAGGTATTGACACTATCACTCTATTTTTGTTTGCTATATTTATCTTGTCTACAATATGCATGAGAAACTAAGAGAAAATTATCAACTTTTATCCTTATCCTTTTTTTTGTCTTAAAACACAAACAAATCTCCCCTGTTTATAGTACATTTATCAGCCATCCCTGTGTTTGGGCTGTAGAATTCTCTCTCTTACGTGTATTTTGTTTGGTTAAGGATGATTCCCTGTGGGATGAGACACAATCCATTATCATTTAACTTACACAGAAAGTACTCTATGGAGATTGGATTATGTGCTGTGAGCAAAAAAAGGGCATTAATCTATAGGGTATTTTGTGACAAAGTACATTTTTCTATCACATTGCAAATTCCATTTATCCAGGATAGATTGCAAAGCCAACACTTGCTAATAATCCATCCTAGAGGCGTACAAATAGTAGGAACAGATAAAAGGGGAAAAGGAAGGCATTGGTTGCTTTAAGAATGTTTAAGGAAAAGTGCAGAACACTTGCATCTGGTATTACAATGATTTTGATTGCATTGATCACAAAAAGGTTGGATTTCTTACGAAGGCTTGGCCTGCAAAGAAAGGCTGGAGAAGACGGGGGCAAATCTGTCTTAGCAGAAAGAAGCAGCAGTCAGAGAGGTGACTCTTCTCTCCCCAGAGTATTTAGATTTAGACAAGAGAGTCCTAATTACTCTTTTCAGCCCATATTCTGAACTGCTGATGGATGACACATGCAAAGCAAAGCAAAGCAAAAGTCCCTGGGAAAGGAGTGAAGAATCTTCAATACACATGCATTTGTGAGGGTAAAATCAACAAGAATACTGAGCATTCTCGGCTTAAAATCTCTAGAAGGCAAATGAATCATACTAGCTAATAAGTTAAAACTATAACAGAGAAAGAAATATTTTCTTTACCGATGAAGTGATCAAAGATTGCAAGAGTGAGAGTTTTTCTCACTCTTTATTAATTCTGCATATGCAGATTGCAAGTAGATGCTAACAGCTGGCAAAGAAGGCAGTTTCATGTTAGAGCTGTCATGGTCTGAGATAGCCCCAAAATCCAATTCCCTAGTCCTAACCCCCTGTCACCTCTCAATCCAATGTGAGATGGGTTTTTTTCCAGAGAAAACACCCCAGACTCCAAATGGGGGAAAGGGAATATATTACAATGACTATACAAATAAATACTACAATACATGACATACAATCTTAGCTATCTCTACCATGACATAAGTGTCTACAATGGACCAGATCTCTTCTCCCCTCCAAATAAAAGTCCAGGAGGGAAAGAAGGACAGATCCCTTCCAGTCTGAAGGCAGGAGCATCCTCTAAGGCAGCAGGTTCTCCTCATCTCATCTGTCCTCCACGCAGCAGTAACTGGGTTGTTGGAGCTGGATCTCTGTTCCATACACACGAGGGGGTCTCCAAGCCCCTCGGCTCTCCTTCGGTCCAAGTGAAGGCCTCACCCGTGGGCTGCCAGCAGGGACCAGACTCGTGTCACCACAGGTATGTCACGAGATGCGGGGGCATCTTCGTCAAAGTTCCTTCCTCAGGGGACTCACCCTGAGTCAGAACATCTTGGGCAGCTTTCAGTTGCAAGCCTTTGCCTCAAGAGTTCTAGCAGAGCTCCTGTGCCCTGTCTCAGGCTGCCAGGCTTGGCAGCAGCAGGGGGGGCCAAGGTCAACTCCCCCCACATTCCATCTGGCCGTCCCGGTCCAGCTCCGGGACGCTCTGAGCTTCTCAGCTCCTCTCTCTCTCCGGTGCTGCGTGTCCAAAACTGCTCTCCAAAACAGGAGTCCATCTCCCTCTTTTTCTCAGAGGGTCTCAAGGGAGTTTGGGGGTCTGGTATCAGTCCTTACCCCAAACTCTGTCTCTCTGCTGCTAGCTCGCTTTTCTTCGGACAGCACTGTCTCTCCTGCTTTGCTGCATGCTCTGGTGCTGCTTCTTCTCTCTTCTGGCTCTGTGCCACCGTTTCTCCGGGCAGTGCCGGCTGCCGCTACTGCTCTCAGTGAAGGAACATCTCCAGGTTCAGCTACAGACACTTAGTCCAGCTTACCACTGCTCCCAGTCTCTGCAGCCCCCCCAGCCAGGGGCTGGGAGGCCCCCGAGGGCCCAAAGGGCTCCGAGCCCCTTCCTCGTGGTCTCACAACAACCAAACCACAACCCTTCTCTTCCGGTGCTTGGGACATGCTTTCATCTTGCAGGAGCCCCCGTTGGGCAGAACTTCAAAACTTCCAGGGGTTTCCACCCCTGGGGGTCTACCACTTCTCTTGGCCTCTGGGGGAAAACAAGGTCCAAAGCACTCCAGAGCACTGCCCAAGTATTCCTGAGACTGGCAATATGACAATGGAGCTGCATTAAATGCTTCAGTCACAAACCTATTGCCTAGAGCAGCTTACAGAAAGACCAATGTGTGCTATCCACAGCTCTAAAAAGCAAAGTGTTATTGCCCTGGCAGAGTTAAACTGAAGCAATTTTGTACATAAGAATGATGCACTGATTTAAAATTATCACTTATTAGTTTGTTCTTGTTTCACAGCAATGCCATATCTATGGGCAAAGGAGGCTTCGGGCTTGAGGAGATGCCTGAACTATCAATCCCATAGGATTAGCAATTTTAAATGAAGAAAAAAGTTGCAAGAAAAGGTAATTTCAGGCTTCGAAAAGAACTTTCATTGATTTCCAAAGTTTGGACCCCAGAACCATCAGTTCAGAATCTTACCCAAATGGTGATGTCACCAATGCATTTTAAAGCAGCCTTCAATTAGGTTAAATAAAGAAAATAGAAGCCGATGAAGAGAGCTCAGTAAGAGTTTCTATTTCTAGATAGTTTTAAATGCATAATCAAATTTGCTAATTGTAAGATGTGATACACATGGCCCAGTTAATAGGCAATTAGTGAGGGTTTTGTACTGCTCAGGATGTTATTGTGAACAGTCAGCACAAAGATAATGTTATAAAAGAGTTGGTCTATAACTTTGACTCCTCACTGAAAAAGGACATATTTTGCATCAGTCCTACTCGGTAACATTTGCTCTGGGCTGCCACAGCATTTGCTTTTCTTATAAAATGTTTCATCTGCCTAAATTCCAAAAATCCTTTGTCAGTTTTCTTAGCTCAAATGAGCACACAAGCAAGGGAAGCACTCAGGGAACATTTCTGATGTTTACACTCTCTCAGTCAATGGTGCTGTAACTTAAGTCTCAGCTTAAGCCATAACAAGGTCTTGAAGAAAGCTCAATTGTATGGGTGTGGAAATCTGGAGCAAAGAGAGAAGAAACAAAAATTAGGTTAGTCTAACTGTTTCTTGTAAAGGACAAAAATATCTTATTCTTCCAGACCTCTTTCTCACTCAATCACAGGGAGATGTGCAGACTGAAACTTGATCAGACAGAAGAAGGGTTAAGAGAGCATTGATTCCATGTTTATGCAGATTTGTTCATCTTAGCTGAAATGAATTCTGAGGTCTTTTTGACATGAATAAGGTAGAGTTTGATAGAATTCAGCAGTCATTTGAGTTTCAATAAGTAACTTTCTGTCTTGTCACTTCACTATCTAATCTTAACAGCATTGTCATCTTACCCTGGCACAGCAGGTCGGTTCTTTGATATTAAACTAGCAAGTTAAACAAGGAGCACAAAAACTAAGCCCTAATATTTCGTCTAAGGGTCTAAGAATTGCAAAGCTTTCTCAAATAGCTAAAGACCACTACAAAAATCATGCTATGAAGTTAAAGGGGAAATGGTCTTTTCACAAAAAAAATTTTTTTTTAAAAAGAAAGCACAAGAGAATTATGTTTTCTCAATCAGAACAAAATTCTACCTCTTTGTGGCTTCTGTAAACTAGACTTATCTTTCCCTACTCATTCTCATTAGACATGACATTTGAAAAATAGACACAACAAATAGGAATGTCTAGAGATGTCCAAATCTGGGAAGTGCACATGGTAAAGTACCACACTAAAAGACCTAGAACACTGCAGTGCAAGGAACAGTACAGACTCTTACAGACTTCAGTGTCTCTAGTTTATACAAGCATTCTTGCTACTAGAATCTCAGATAGAGTTTAAAGAGCTAAGAGAAAAAAAAAAGAACAAGAAAAAAATGTCCTTATTTTTGGAGATAATGCTTATTCTTAAAATGTTGTAACACAAATGTAGTATAACCTGATCTTAACCCATACTGAGTAATTATAGGTTTAGCTTCGTACAGCATCTTCTCATTTCATGTTGAATGGCTCCTGTTGTCTCCCCCATCTGTTCGAACTGGGACTGCGTCAGGAGTTCACAACTACAGTTTTCCTTTAGCAGAGCATCTCACAGAACCTCTTTCCATCTCTGCTCCACACTGCTCACTGTCGCCAGCCCCTGATCTGCAAACAGCAGAGACACAGCAACACGCCCAATGTGATCAGAGCAAGGTCCAAGTTATTCTTTCAATCAGTTCCCTTGGATACAGTTTAGTTTGCTCAGGGTACATGCTCACAATCAGAGGATTGCAGAGCTCAGGCTGGGCACGTGTCTCATGCTCTCAGTTTATTGCATCTGAGGCTCTGTCCATGCGACCTGAAATCATCCTTGGCATAGAAACCTCTTTCTAACTAATCTGCTTTGAGGGGTTTTTCCTAGATCTGCAGGTGTACTTTTATCTCTAGGTTCCCAAGGTTTTCTTACTATAAACATCTTACGCTCTCAAACCTTATCATTAGACACCCAGCTAACAAGTACAACCATCCCATATTTTCACACAGTCTCTGAGTACAAACAATACACACCTGTCACTTCCATGGCAAGCAAGGCCTAGAGAGGGCAGGAAAAACTGTTCAGAGAAATCTCTCTGTTCCAGACACATCTTACCACACATGCAGAGGGAGCAATCCAGAGTCCAGCCCGTCCCACCATTCCCAGGGAGGCAGTTCAGGGGCTGCCTGGGGCTCAGGGAGGAGTCACGGGGCTTCTCTTCTTCCTGCCCGCTTGCCCCAGTTTCTCCTGCAAAAGCAAAGCTTTCTTGGCTTTCCTTGCTCAAGGACATGCAGCCAAGGCCATCTTTGCAATCTAATCCTGGAAACTGCTCCAGGTTGTCATTTCAGGGGCTCTCTCAGGTCCTGCACTAATCAATCCCCTTGGCCATTGGTTTCTTGGCAGGTGTTTGCATTCACCTTCTACAAGCAAACCAGGAGGAGCAAATTCAGCTGTTCCTGCAACCAATCCAAGCTGCCATTCTGATTTTAAAGGATACTGGCTTGGCCTTACCAGGAGAGATCCCACACCAGGGGTAATACCTACAGGTTCTGCCCTCTTCCACTCTCCTGCAGTTCCACTGGCCCACACCACAGGAACAGCTGCAGCTGCCACTTCAGTCGGGACCTTGCTGCTGACAGGAGTTATTCCCTGCACAACAAGAGCTGCTGCTTGGACACATTGAGTTTCAGCAATTACAGTGTCAATATTCCCATTTTCAATTTCATTTCTGCCTCAACTTTTCCAGTCCATCTCTTCCTAGCACAGGTTTGGGTCAGTTTGGCAAACAGACAAACTCAGGAATTCCCCAATGTTTTCCCAGTTTAACCCCTGTCACACCAATCACCTGAACACTGCCAGTCCTTCATTCTCCCTCTCTTGGGTTAAGGACTGAGGAAGTTGGACCTGTGTCTGACCAGGACAGGTGCAAACCAAATGCTGGGGACTGGAACACACACCTGGCACTCCTGCAGCTCTCACAGTCACATTCCAGAGAAAACAGCCAATTGGACCCTCCCTGCTCATTTCTTAATCCCAATCCCACACTTCTTTGGCACTTGGAGCACCACTTTTATCACCCAATTGCAGCCCATTAGAGAGCTCCCTGTCTAGCAGGGACAGGGACCCCTGGGATACTCTCAGCAATGCCTGAATCCATGGCAGGGACCTTGCTTTGAGCTCCCCAGGGCCGGGCACCCCGAGGATCTCCCCGAAGAATCCTTTCGGTGCGCGCTGGAGTCCTCGGGGTGCCCCAACCCGGGGGGCACCCACAGCACTGTCCCTCCAGGGGGCCAAGTTGGTCCTAAACTGCAGGGGGATCTTGCCTGTGTCCCAGACTGGTCCGGGGATCTGAGGCCCTTCCCGAGAAAATCTCGGTGCCGGCGTGAAGGGCCAGAGATCCCTTGGAGCCACGGGAGAGCAGGCACAGAGTCCCTCCTGGGGGGCAATTCTGCTGCCTGAAATCAGCTCTTCAGAGAAACCTCTAACACTCAGCTGGTGAGTTTTAGAAGCCAGGCATTCCTACACACCGTAAGATATTTTAAGAGTTTACTGAGTGAAAAAGCATAAAGCTTTTATCAGGGACACCTGACCTCCCACAGACAGCTCCTTTCCCCTTTCACTACAAAATTACTTCCATGGTATCATTTAATACCAAGTGCCCAGGAACCCCAGACTGTGCTTTCCAGAACAGAAAATAAACAGAGGGAAGGAGCTTTGCACAAGTGTAACAGGCTCCAGAACAGACCTGACTTTAGTTCTACTCTTTGTGTTCAAATACAGCAGACAAAAGCTCCAGCAGGAGAGCTGGCACATGACCCATGGTACCCTGAAAGTCCCTCTCACGAGGGCTGGAGGAAAATCACAGCTGGGCCAGTCCCTTGTGCCTGCAGATGCCTGGGGATCCTCTCCATCCACCTCGTGCTCTCCCAACAGCAGGAAGGGTGACCTCAGGGACACGGTGGCACTCGACATCCTGCTGAGAGAGCAAGGAAACCTTTAGCATAAAGGGGAGTTGGAATCTAAAGCTTCCTTTCCTGGGAGCTTTGTGAAGCCTGCAACCAAGAGGGGGAAAATTTGCATCTCCTTTGGTGCAGGTGTCAACAGAGGCCAACAGAGCTTGCACCTTTTTCAGACAACTGTGCCCCTTTTGGCTCCCTGGCAGCTCCAATGGCACCAGAACCCCCTTCCTGCACACCCACGGCTGTCACACACAGGCACCCACACACCTTTGCTCCAGCCCACACGGGGCCAACATTTCCTCCCCCTGCACATCCCAAGGGCAGTAGTTTTGCTAGAGAGCACAGCAACCCCCCTGTCCTCACAAACTGCCTCCCTGCAAAACAGGAATCATTTCTCCTGGACACTTCGCCCACAGTCAAGGGCTTTTCAAATGTGCTCAGGGTCCCTCCCAGCTTCTGCCTGTCCTTGCATTTAAAGGCACGGGCACATTCTACCTTCCAACAGCAAACCCAGCTCCTCCCTGGCAGTATAAGCCCTGCTCTTACCTGGACAGACTCCGGGCTGGGCACAGCTGTGGCTCATGGAGCAGCTTCCCAAGGCCCTTCTCTCTCCCCGCAGGAAGCACAACTCGCCTCCACTCCCCAGCACCAGGGGAAACCACGAGCCAGGCTGCAAATGGACACAGAACGAGCAAGAAGCATTAACGCAGCAACAAAAAGCCCGGCCCCCGCTGCCCAGCACAAGGCGCCCCTAAACGCCCCCCGGCTCCCCCGGTCACAAACCCAGCGGCCAAGGCGCTCTCCCCTCCGCAGCCCGGGCAGCAGCGGGGCCGCACCCTCAGCCCTCACACGCAACCGCCCCCACCCGCCCCGCCGGCCCTTTATACCGCGGGCCGGCAGCGCTGCCCAATCAGCGCTCGAGCGCCGCCGCCCAATCCCAGCCCGCCCGGCCCTGCGGCCCCGCCCCGCCCGCTCACCCGGCCCCGCCCCTCGGCGCGGCCCCGCCCCCGTTCCCTCAGCGCGGCCCCGCCCCCGTTCCCTCAGCGCGGCTCCCGCCGGGGCCGGGGAAGGGCGGTGGGAGCTCCGCGGTCACGGCCCGGCCGGGAGCTCTCCCGGGACAAGGGGAGCGGGGCCTGCGGGGACAGCGGCCTTCTTGGGGACGGGCAGGGCGGGCCGGGGGGCGGGGCCGGCGCGAGCTCTGTCAGAGCAAATCTGGTCATTCCCGTGGATCTGTCTTCGAAACTGCGGGATCGTAGCGTTTTCCAGGAAACAGTAACGAGGGCAGAGGTGAGGTCATAGGCTTCCAATTCGAATGATTTGGTGGACATAAGAGTCATCCTTGTATGTTTTACACTCCCCCTTTTCTTTCCGGAATAATTTAAAAATTATTCCTTTTGAAGTTCGAGAGGAAGCGATGCCAAACGAACGGCAGGGAGAGCTCACAGAATCCTCATGGGAATCCTCACGGAAACCTGGCGTGGTTTGGGTCTGAGGAGCCCTCAAGGATGCTCTCGTTCGGGGACACCTGCCCCAGGCAGGGACAGCCCCGCTGTGCCGGGTGGCTCCGAGCCCCGTCCAGCCTGGCCTTGGCCACTTCCAGGGATGGGGCAGCCACGGCTCCTCTGGGCAAGCTGTGCCAGGGCACCTCCCGACCCTCCCAGGGAAGAAGGTCTTCCCCATGTCCAATCTCTCCCTTTCTTCTCTGCAGGCACGGGGCTGCAGCGCTCGGGGCCGCCGGGCAGGGCAGTGGCGGGGACCGGCCGGGGCGGGGGGTGCGGTGGGGATGGGGGGGGGTGGCCGCCTTCCCCGGGCTTTCGAGAGAATAATAACGAAGTTTAACGACAAAATAAACATTTAAAAATACAACAAAGAACGCATTCAACCCGAACAGTTTTCTGCAGGAGGCGGGCTGGGACGGGGAATTGTCTCCAAGGCGGCCCAGGATCGGGGCGGGCTCTGCGGCGGGGACGATGCCGCTGCCGGCCGGGGAAAGGCACCTTCCCCCCACTGCCAAAAAGCTGGGAAGGGATAACCTCTGCCTGCAGCTGCCTGGAGCTGCTGTTGGCCCTGGGCTTTCTGTGCCCCTCGTGGCCACGGGCTGATGGCAGGATCGCTCCAGCCCTGGCACAGACGGGCTGAAGGCGAGCCCGGGGTCTGTGCGGGGCAGGGCTGCCCCTCGGCCCCTGAGCGCGGGGGTGTGGAGGGAATGGACCGGCCGGGCTTTGGCAATCTGGCCCCCAGAAAGACTGTGTGACCTCTTCCAACAGGGGAGGACTGAAGCAAGCGGGGCCAGGAAGAACTGGAGTTTCTGGGGAATAAAAGCTGGAAGTATCCCCCTGAAAATCCCCCCGGGTGGTCAGCGGTCTGACTTGCACAGCCCGGTGGCCTTGGCCAGGAGCGGTCCTGCTGGAAGTGCCTTTGCCCAGGCTGTAATTTTAATTTCCATTGGGTGCTGGCAAAGCCCCCCTGGGTGAGCCCCAGTGCCTGGCAGGAGCAGAGCGGGCTTGCAGGGTACTCATTGCAGGCGTTGTGTTTAAGGGAAGGGCAGGGGAGCCTTTCTCTGGCCCAGAGGAGCTGCAGTGTTTCCCTCTCTGGAAGAATAAAAACTAAAAAAATAAAAACCAAAGGAGAAAGAAAAGAAAGTGAAAAATAAAGAGAACAAAAAATAAACGAAATAAAGAAAAAAATAGAAAAGAACATTAAAAAAAAAGGCAAGAAAACTAAAAAGGAAATAAAATTAAATAAAAGAGAAAAAGAAACCCTTCTTGGGTGCCCCGTTTACTCCCCGCCCCCCCGGCCCCGCCCTCCGCCCCGTAACTTGGGGGTCACCCCTAAACTGTGAGAAGGGGACCCCAAAACGTGGGTGGGGGAACCCCAGGGAGCCGCAAAAGCGGAGGGGGAGCCGCGAAACGTCAGGGAGGGGCCCCGGAACAGCGGGCGAGGCGCGCGCAGTGAGAGAGGGGAGCCGGAACGTCGGGGGGGGGGCAGCCAAGGTGGCGACGCCGGCGCATGCGCAGTCCTTGGCAAGACGCCGGCGATGACACGGTAATAAAGGGCGGCCGGGAGGGGGACCGGCGACGCATGCGCAGTGGTTCTCGTGCCGCTGCAGCGCTCCCCGCTCAATTTAAGAGCCGATTCCGGCGGAACGGCGGGACTTGTGGTCTTCCGTCTCTCCCAGGGTGTGCGTGGGGGGAATAACGTGAAGATTTTTGGGGCGAAAGCGCAGAAATTAGCGAGAGACGCTAATTCGGATAAAGTCGGGTACCGGAAGTAGAGACCGACCGGACTGTTTTCGACGGCGCACCACCAAAGATGGCGCCCTCTCGGACCGAAAGTCGTCCGAGGCTACCCAGAAAGAAAGATGGCGGCGCCAGGACCGGAAGTCCTCCAAGGCCGTACAAAAAGATGGCGGCCCCAGCCCGGAAGTTCGTCCCTAACCCACAGTAAAGATGGCGCCGCCAGGACCGGAACTTAGTCGAAACCACACTAAAGATGGCGGTGAGAGGCCCCCTTGCTTCAGAGAGGCGTCCTACCTGTTCCCTGACCTCCGCCCCGACCCGGATCCCCGCTCCGCGCCCGCAGCGCCGTCTCGCCGCGCCGCTTCCCGCTGTGGGGACAGGGCGGGGCGATCGGCGGCGTAGGGCGCGGGCGGCAGGTTCGTGGGCGGCAGCAGGCACCGGCGAGGGCAGCCCCCTCTCGGCGGTCCCTCCGTGCCCTGGAGATGCTGTGATGCTGTTTAGGTAATGCTGATTGTGTTTCCCCCACTTTGGCAACGCGGTCATTAAAAAGAGAAAAATAACAAGTCTGTGGCCATGCCCTGTACTTGGGAGCTTGCAGGCTCTGGATTAAACTTGGCTCTCTAATGTTCAAACTGTGCGCGAGGGGCGGTGCCCGATCAGGGCCAGCGGCGGGGCCGGACGGGGCCGGCCCGGGGGTCCCTTCCCCGCGGGGTCGCAGCCGCGGGACCCGCCCCCGCCCCGCGCGGCCCCTCCCGGCGCGCCCCGCCCGGCGTTGGGGGCTGCGGCCGCTCCCGGCGCTGCCGAGGCTGCCGGGGAGGGACCGGCCTGTGCTGGGGGCACGGGGGTCGTTCCTTGGGTTCGAGGGCGGCAGCGGGAGCGGCGCGGCGGGGCGGGACGGGCGGGAGGGGCCGGGGGAGGGCGGGGAAGCCGCGGCGGGGCCCGGGGGCTGCAGCTCTCTGGCTTCCCGACTGGCTTTGCGGACATTTGCCACCTTCAGAGGAGGCACAAATCCCCGCGGAGCTGAGCGAGGGGTGCGGGGAGCGCAGCGAGCTGGGGCGGGGCTGTGACCAGGGCAGGGTGTGCGCAGTGCCC